TAGAAATCGCCAGCAGCTGCGATATGACAAGAGGCGCGCACAGTGGCTCTGGGGCCGGCAGCTCCACTGACCATCCGCGCGTCGCAGGGCGACGTGGACGATTGGAAAGCGGCGCCGCGCCGCCTCCTCCCCCGCCTCCAACGGAAGGAAGGCCGTGTGCAGGGTTACCTGATTGGTCAATGTTTGACCTTCAGATAAACCTTCAAAAGTAATCTAGTTATTATCCGACCACCGTGCGGAAGGAGTTGCGAAAGCTCTCGCTGGGATCACGCCTCTGAGCCGCAGATGCGTGCAATACTGTCTCGCGTAGAAATTGATGTTGTACGATTAAGCATGATAAAGGATGTAGTTGACTCTTGCCGTGGGCGCAGAACCTGGGAGAAACCGCGTAATATTGTTATGCCTTCGAAAAGTCCCCCCTGGGAAATTCAACGAGGTAGTCGACCGTGATTTGATGTTCTACAAACAACATATTGTGCTTCACATCATCGACTGATGCGTTCGTTGGGCTGCAGGCCAAGAAATTGCCGACAGGACGATGCATGCGATATTGATGCCGATCACGAATGCTAGATGCAGCACGGTCATGCTACCGCATTGTACTCCGACTTCGAAGGGGCTCTGAATAATGGTGCGGTTGCACTCATTATGAAGGCAACATGCACAGAACTTCGCATTCGTGTTCGAGGCCAGCATGCCACCACCATCAAAACGCGCAGCGGCATCCTAAGACACGCCTTACATGTTATGGAAGAAGAAATAAAACGGCATAACATACAATTTGTCTATACACGTCTACTGCGCGAAGGTCTATTTGTCTGTGGTGCTTTGGCGTTCTACAACGTGGTATCTCCATGCCAGGCACTGTGCGGACGACAGCCGGCCTGTTTACCAGATCTGCCGGTACTGGGCCACCAACAGGGGGCGGAAACGTCCGATCACAACCGAGAGCAAAGAACCCGAGAACAAAAACAATGAGGCCATCCCACAAGCCACTAGCCAAAACCAACAGAGCCTTACGCGCAAAAAACGACAGCGGCGGGACACCGCAATTACCGGCCAGGGGATCTCGCGGACTACCACCGTCCGACCATTACCAAGGACGATTGGGGAGGATGGAGCGGACCATGCCCTATCGCCCGTAACAGCCCTGACCGTGGTCGAGCAGCAGCGCAAGTCGGAGGTCGAGAAGTCTTGGTACACTGCCCAGACTTACTACACACATTATATATTGAAGTATTCATGGCCCGCGAGATCGGCTCGGACACCACGGCAATGCGAACAGGTATTGGCCTTTATTGAGAATTTGCCTGCAGGGGAACCTGCAGTGATCTTCGGCTACTTGTCGACCCAGCACGGGCGCCTGCGGATGACCGCAGCGATTCGTCTCTCGCCCGAATTGCACTTAGCCCCACAGTTCCTCAACATAAGTGATTTTAGGGTAGAAAGCGTTGTAATTATGCGTTTGGCTAAAGGCATCCCCGGGTTACCGGCAGCTGCGCTGATAGCTGCGCCCGGGTGTATTAAGTAACGACGTTGCACCAAGATTTCACGACCGCGAATCAGAGGGCACCGCCCTTCATATTTACGACATCACTGGCACCGCGCATGGCGAGTCACTCAGCGCCTACAGTCGTCAAAACCTTTAGCAGGCTTCGATGGGTGCCCCTCAAAGATCGAGGACCTGGCGGATGTGCCAGCGACTTTTGGCCACGCCCAGGAGGGGGACAGACCTCCTGCACCGACCGTCCTGGACAGTAGACTACCACCAATTGCTGAATAATCAAAAACGGATTTGGACGCATATCATGGACACGTGGAGTGTAGAGCTTCAAGAGGAAGCGGAACTAGTGGAGACCCCCTCATGGGAGTCCCTGCGTTCGGTGCCCACCGAGATGGTTGCCGACAACCGCGCGCTCGTGGCTGTAGCCAGTGAAGAGCAAGGACGCTTGCGAGACATGGAATATGCTCGGAACCATGATGCCGACGAAACCTTTCTGGTGCCGTGGACTACTGCATGCGGCGAGACATGCGACCTCGACTCGGACGACCACGGCCGACATGTCGAGCTATGGTTCTTTTTTGACATGGCCGAGGTAGATCTATCAGAGCAGCAGGGCGAGTCACAGCACAGCGACCAAGTTACCACAATGTGCGCATATGTCTCGGCCGCAGCAAAAAGAGCCTTAGTTGCCAAGGAAGACCTCTTGGCGAAGGCAGGAGTACATGCCGACCCGACGAATATGTTTAAGGCCTTGTACACCGAATTGGAAATATGGCATGGTAATGCATGCTTCAAGACGCAGGACACCAGTAATGCCGCTGCTATCATGAGCTCTAGATTCGCGCAAGTGGAAGTCTGTAAGAACGAGAGACGCGAAATTGAACAATCAATGCGACTACGCCGCGTTATTCGCGGCTCTCTGGGCGTCGAGGCATTCGACGTGGAAGCCTTCTCAGGCACAGCTCGGCGAGCAATCTAGAGACTGCTCGCCGAGCAGTGAAATGAATCATGGCATCCCTGGACGTCGGCACGGCTTTCTCGAAAGGTCTGACTAACCGTGAGTTGGCAGGAGGCCACCGGTGAGAAAGATTGCGTGGCATGCTCAACTCTTCCACCTGGTTCAGCTTCGGTGCTGCGTGCGCTGCCCGGCTTCTCGTCCTATGACGAGTCGAAGCGCTGCCTTCAGTGTCTTAAACCAAGCACAGGCACCAAAGAGGCCCCCAGGGCAGTCTCACTGATTGAAGCAAGGAACCGTCGCGCGAGGCTTCGGGTTGAAACCTGCATCGCATGGTGAATTTGAGATTAGCCCGAACCTCCTGACAGCCAAGCAAGAAGACGACATCAACCAGGCAGGAGTGGAGGGTACTATCGACAAGTACTATGTGTAGAGGGTGCGTTCGGCGCATGTAAATTGAGCAGACACTGTCACACCACTTGCGCCGTGCGATGCACTATGACCGAGGGCGTCCGCGTCAAGCTAGATCAGGACGAAGACATCAAACCGCTTCGTCCGACGCAGCACCCAGAACTTGCGGGTGCTTTAGCGGAAGAAAAGGCGACGAAGACAGTGCCCAACGTGTTCATCAGTCTACGAGGCGCCTTCGCATATGCATCGATCGTTCAAGTCTGGTCAGCGGCCCGCGCGGCATCCTCAGCGCGCACGGGCCCCCGCGAACGTCCAAGCACGAAGACTTCATGCCGCTGCACGCGAACTGCAGCATAATATATCAACTTATGACTCCGACTGGAGAAGCGTGAACCTTCACAGTGATTCAGGATATCGCCGTCTTAATGCGGACGAAAGAGACGAAGTAAAGGGATAGCGCGTCCGAGGAGCAAACCTTTCATTGCGTGGGCACGCGCCCAACGGTAAAGCAGTAGTACATCTGATCGATGCATGCTGCAAGTCGCATCGCTTGCAGGTCCACTCCAGCTTCCCAGCAGAAGCACTGGCAGCCGCTCATAATCTTGAGGGCTGCTATCCTTACCATAGCTACGTTACGTGAGCTTAGAGCTGGGCCCATTACGCCTACTCGACTTAAGAACACTCTGGAGTTACGCGGTCTCATCATTAAGGCCATCCTCACCATGGACGCTGAGTCGGTCTTCAAACCCTCGTCGAGTAAGGGCTTGGAGAAGCCGACCGACTGTGCCCTGCTGGGGCATATCAGCTGGATAAGACAGGTGCTGGACCGAGGTATAGTTCATAGCGTACAACTGTGTGGTGCACGAGATATGGCCGCTGACGGTCATACCAAGGGGTGCATCGATCGCGCGTCGCTGCTGCAAGTGATGGGCCGACATCAATCCTTCAAGTGGGAAAGAAGTATGTGCCCTATCGAGGCAAGAAGGGCACAGCACCAACATAGGGGCGTCGCTTTTCAGGGCCAGCTGACATCTATGCGGACAACAATTCATACTGATAGAAGCATTTATTTTTGCCTGGGCGCTGCGAAGTATACTTGCAATATGGCCGTCCTCGCCTGGCCACGTGCAGAAATGCTCAAAACGTCACAGCTACCATGGGTGCCCAGACACGGGCATGAACCTTTTTAATTTCAAGAGAGGATATGACCGCTTGGCCATGTCCCTCGCCCACTGCACGCCTTGACAGCTGGCATATGGCCAGTCGTCCCCTTGAGTCATCTGCGGATGGCCACGCGGATTTGCCCGTAGCCATCTATAATTATATGGGGCTGGTCGTGGCAATATGCCATGACCAGCCCTAATGCTCTGCGCTGTCTGCTCTTTGCCTTGCTATTATGCGCTGTCGAGGACGGCGGAAGTCATCATCTTCATCCTCCTCTACTTTATCTAAATCGTCAGGACTAGGATCTAGCGTTCGGCCCCTTCCCTCCCGACTTTAAACAAGGTCTAAGGGGAGGCTGTAGAGCGAACGCTATATCCGACGCTGTCTTGGCTCAAGGCAGCGCTGTCCGATTTGCTAGTTGCACTGCCGCGTGCGACAACATTGGAATCATAGCATCGTAGAAAAGGCCACGTATATCCATGATCCGCCCCTTCATTCCATGGCTTCTCTCTTACCTCTCGTCCTGCTCGCCATCAATGGATGAGTTGTGGGACGCTTCGATGCGTCGCCGACGTTATCCTCAGAGTCGGGTTTTCAGTTTATCACCTCATGGTCAAGCCCTGTGCCCTTACTTCTCACGACTTGGACCGATGCTTCAGCGATTCGGGGCCCTCGAGCACGGTTTCGGGGACATCTTTGGGCACTTTGCGTTTTTGGGGCTTTTTTGGGCCCCCGAGCCGCCCAGGGGTGGTGGGATCTGGGTGGCGACCCCTCACCTCCACGGGACCCTCCCCCAGCGGGGAAGAGATCACATGGAAGGGGTTTCCTTTCGACTCATCTACAACGGGCCTAAGGAAAAAGAGAGGGGAGCGGCGACAGCGACGACGACAACGATCACGACGACGACTACGAGTTAAACGGAACAGCCTTTTCCACAACCCGACAGGGTCGGCGGATTCTCTGGAGGCGTGGCGCACACCGTCCTCTGCGTGGGCGAGGACATCAACCTGAGCGCCTACGAGTCGTTCGTCTCACTAACCCCCGCCCACGTCGAGCACTTCATGCGCACTGGGCTGAAACACGATCCCTCGCACGTCGAGGGGGCGATGCCCGATGACGAGCTGGAAGATATCTTCGACGAGTGCCTGGACCAGCTGGAGGGCGCGGCGAAACAGCTGGCTGCTGGCGGGCCCGAGCGCCTGAGGGGCAGGGGCGCCACTGTGCAAGAGTGGGCCGAAGCGCTGGTCGAGCTGCAGCGGGACAAGGGGCTGCAGCTGGAGCTGCGGAGGAACTTCGCCCGCGCCGTGGAGCTCTGCCGGGCGAACGCCTTCATGAAGGAGCACATGGCGGATCTCGTGCTGCGGGCCGCCCACGGGCTCGCCCGCGAGCACACGCTGAAGGGCCGAACGCCTCCGCCGGCCAGGTCCAGCCCGGTGGGGCCGGGCAGGTCGCGGTCGAGGTCGCGGTCCGGCTGCACCTCGGGGACCACGGCCCAGTCGCGCTCGCGCAGCGCGCCCCGCGCTGCGGCGCTGGCCGCATCCAGCGAGTCCGAGTGAGCTGAGCTTAGCCGCACTTGCGGCAGCCCCCGCCTGCGCGTTTCTGTGGGTCCGCGTCCGGCCAGCAGGGCTGGACCTAAACGGTGTTTTTGGTGATTTCGTGGGCCGTTTTCGTTTCGACTTCGTTTTGCGGTAAAGATGGTTTCGAGGCAAAAGCGAGGGAAAACGAAAACAAAACGAAAACGAAAAACACAGTTTAGGTGCAGCCCTGCCGGCCAGTCTGGCCACAGAAATCCGAAGGATTGATTTTGTCAATGATCCTGGCATCTTTCCCTCGCCTCGGCCCTCGGGGTCCTGCAGCCGGGACCAGCAAACACGGATGAGGGACGAAGCGCCCCCCCCCCAGGGAATGGGTCGGGACCTCTGAGATACAGCGCATTGGAAGTCAGTCACACCTTCGGATGTCTGCGACTGGGGTTGCCATCGTCACAGGTGATGGTGATATCCACAATCGGTCAGATCGGAAGGCTGGCGTGAGCCGGCTCTGCAGGTGCTGCAAGCGGCCGCGTGCCTTCGGCGTCTGACCTGATTAGTAGACCGAGCAGAGAAGCTGTCAGTTGACCTGCTGGAGCTGCTGGCGTCTCCGGCAGCATTACCCCAACCATCCGCTCTGCGGGCAGACTCCGACCGAGGGGTCGCAAAAAGCTACTCGCTGTCGCCAGGCGAGCCCTGCTGCCACCCCAGTGCGCGAGCGCAGTGGCGCCAGCCTCGCGAGCCTCGCGCCCTGGCGAAGAGGGCAGGCGCGGCGGAGGGCGCCGACTACGACGATGCCGACGACGTCGCCGCCGACGAGGACGGCGACGACGGGGATCATGCCGACGACGACGACGACGACGCCGCACCAGCGACGACGAGGGCGGTCTCCGCAGATGACGACGAGATGACACACGCACGCCGACGACAGTCGAAACGACGACGCCGCCGACGACGACGCGGACGACAAGATGACACAAGCGGACGAAGACGCCGACGAGGGTGACGCCGACTCCGCCGACGCTGGCGACGAGGACGGCGCCGACGACGACGACACCGACGCCGAGGTCCCAGCGGCGACGACAGCGACGACCAGGACAGCGACCACGGCCACGACTACGACCACGACCATGACGACGACGTCGAGGACGACAACGTCGAGGGCGACGACGTCGAGGACGCTGACGTCGAGGACGACGCAGTCGATGACGACGCCGAGGACGACGCCAACGACGGCGGCGCGCGCGGAAGGCCAGCGCGGCTGAGGTGACCAGGTTGCGAGAGGAGGTCGCGGCGATAAACAGGACACTTCTTCGTCCTCCCGCGGAAGGGTCGAGGATCGAGGACAGAGGATCCCAGATCTCCTCCTCTTCCTTCTCCTCCTCCTCCTCCTCCTCCTCCTCCTCCTCCTCCTCCTCCTCCTCTCCCTCTTCGTGCGCGCGGCGCGAAGACGAGAGCCCCATCATTGAAACTGAAACGAGCTGTTAGGACGCATGTGGGCGGCGCTAATACGGGAGCCGCGTTTTGACAACTTGCCACTTTTCATCACTGTAGTTGCTGCAAGTTTTCAAGACGAGTGTACGCCGCGCTACTGCGATAGCCCCATTTTGAAAAGGACGCTCATCCAACCGTGCAGCTGCTTTAAAGTTTAAGCTTCAGCGCCAAACGTGATGAGGAAGTCTTAGGCGAAACGTCCGGACCATTCCACCGACACGTCTGGGGGCGTGGCAGGGAACAATCAGTTACATCAAGAAATGGGTGGCTGAGGAGAGGGGGAGATCGAGGGAGTGAAGAAGAAATGAGGATAATGAAGGTCAGGGGGAGGAGGAGGAGGAGGAGGAGGAGAAGGAACAGGAGGAGGGGGAAGGATGGACGAGGGAGTATGGAGGATGGATGGGGGAGGAAGCAGGGAATGAGAAAAGTAGAAGGAAGGAGGAGAAGGAGTAGTAGTAGGTAGGAGGGGGAGGAGAAGGAAGAGGGAGGAGGAGGAATAATAATAATAATAGTAATAATAATAATGATACTAATAATAATAATGATAATAATAATAACAATCATAATAATGATAATAATGATAATACTAATAATAATAATAGTAATAATAATACTAATAATAATAATAATAATAATAATAATTGCAGTAATAATAATAATAACAATAAAGGGAGAAGGAGGATGAGGAGAAAGAGGAGTAAGAGGAGGACGAGGCCGAGGACGAGGAGACGAGAGGAGAGGAGGAGGAGGAGGAAGAGGAGGAGGAGGAGGAGGAGGACCAGTGTATACCCAAGAGTCATCCACGATGTTGGGACAAACCCTCCCTCCAAGCTTCCACTTCGTATGCCTCTACAACAGTTCATTTCCACTGAGGGAACTGCCTCGTTGGAAGACAACCGCTTGAAGACCCTGAAGCATGCCAAAACATTGTTCTCGGGATTCCAACGCCACGGATCAACCTGACTGTTGCGTATTGACGATCCTGAGTCGTGCCAGAACGCCATTCCTGGGACTTCAACACCGCGAATCAACGTAATTGTTGCGCCCTCATAATCCTGAATCCTTCCGAAACGCTGTTTCTGGTACGCTGATCATGGAAATCAGTGAAACACTTGCAAAGTGTGAAAACGAGTGTGCGCGGCGCTGAGGCGAGAGCCACATTTTGAGAACGAGCCGCCCTCAATCCGTGAAGTTCTTATACAATGAAGAACGACTATACGCGGCGTGGAGGAGGAGGAGGAGGAGGAGGGAGTGATGAGAGAGGAGGAGGGAGTGATGAGGGAGGGGGAGGAGGCGGAGGAGGAGGTTGAGGCCGTATCCATGTTGGCTCAAGTCCGGAGTGTTTAGGCTCAGGGGCCTGACCTGTTGGCAGAGGGGAACAGCAGCCTCTACCCTTTCCTCCTCGTTTGCCAGGTCAGACGAGGCTGATTATGGTGAGCTCCTGGTGGAGCTAAGCTTCGCAACGACCGTGCCAGGCAACCGCTTGGTAACACCATGGCGCCTACTATTGTCGACGGCGAGCTTCGGAGGGGCTTGGCGCTGTGGTTCTTGTGGATGCGCCAAAAACAAATGGTCCTGGACTTGGTGCAAGCGTTTTGGGAAGAGTTGGAGAGATGTCGAGCCCACTGCCGCCAAGTCTAGGTGTTGGCCAGAGCCTCTCCGCCGTTCTGCTCCTTCCCAGGCCTTCGCCGATCAAAGCTCACAATCCTCTTTTCGCACGGGGGGGCCGCCCACGGTGTCGAGCTCTGAGCTGGCCCATGTTTTGACATTGTACGAAAAGTTTGGGGACAAGAAAACAGCAGACATGTATCTAGCAAAGTTGGTTCCTGACATCTTCGTGCCCGAACCCCCCGCCCAACATAGAGCCAGCGAAGCCAATCGCGTGCTCAAACATGTGGAGGGGCAGTTGACCAAAATGGTTGATCAATCTGATAAGACACAAAGTGTTTTTGAACCGCAGGCTCAGCAGATCAAAGAAATGCTTCGTCTGGTTGCTCAGCAAGAGGAGGAGTATCGTAAGACTGCCCAGGAGGTGCATGACCGTCTTATTGGTTCACAGGCGCCACCCCACGAAACCAACAAAGTCAGCCCGGCAGCGATTGCGGATGTCCGCAATTGAACTACAGTGTAGTTCAATTGCGGACATGGAGGAGGTCGCCAGCCGCGCCAAGAAGTTCGAGGAAGAGCTGCGGACGGCCACCGCAGCGACGCTTAGGAGGGTCAAGGCTCAGGCAGAAGACTTACGTAAGCAACGTGACGAACAGAAGTCTCGCCTGCAAAAGACACGACGTGGAGGAGATGACCAGAGTGTGGCCCCCAACATGCAGACACCAACGATAGCCTGTCTTCCTCCGCCTCAGCCTCGCCGCCGAAAGATGACAAGAGCGAGCTTCGGTCAAAAGCTGCTTCACTTGCCGAGAAGGTCGGCGCGTCGACCGCGCTGCAGGCCAACAGCCCGTGCGAGGAGACGAAGCGAGGGTAGCCCGATTCTGCTTGCCGCGTCAAATTTGCCAACCAACCCTGACCTTGAGAAAGTGGAGACAGCTTGGAGGGCGAAGCCCGCCATTGGCTCGCTCGAGACCCCCCCCCCCCCAGGGCTCGCGAGGGCCAGCGGCGCGGGGCCCCGCCAAGCCGAATCGCTGGAGGGAGGGGTGACTACTCGATTGTCTCGCACGGCTTAGGACGGCGCAGGGGCGAGGTCAAGCGCTTCGGGCTCGCGCCCCCTATCGCAGGTGACGGTTGGGGCGGATGGGCCTTTCGTCGCTCTGCCCATGTCGCCGCGGCCTGGCGCGCAGAGGTATGGGGCTGCACCTGAGCGCAGCAGGGATAGCCCCACTATCATCACGATCAATGGCTCGAGTTCGACCATGATTTCCACGATCCTAGATGCCCTCAGTCACGCAGGTGCCATCTTGATTTAAGAGCATCGTGTGAAGCCTAATCGGCATGGCAGTGGTGGGAATTTCCTGGCTGGGCGGCGAATCTCCGGGGGGCCATGTTCTATCGCAGACGAGGGTCGAGCGCCAGCAGGGGCCATGATAACGGCCAAGCACGACCTGGATGCATGCGTCCCTGGCGAAGGCAGTCTGCACCCGGGAAGATTGGTCAGCGCGCTTCTCAGGCCCAAGGACCTCGGGCACCTCTTGACCATGACGCGCCGCCGAATTGTTGGAGATGGCTTCGCCCCGCGACATGTTCAGATCTTGGAAACAGCTGGATTGGATATTCCTGGCGCACTGTTCCAATTTTTAAGGCGACATCGACGTCGCCCCTGAGAATCTAAACGCGGCGCTTCCCACGCCCAAGCCGCGCGGGCTCGCTCGAGCGGGCGAGGTGGGCCCGTCGCACTGCCCGGGCGAGAATACCTCAACCATCAATTTCTTCATTGCTGACAAGGTTTTAATGAAAGTATCGAAGGTAAAAGTTGCGATGGATTTTCCAGTGCCCCCTCGCCGCCCAGCGCTGCTCAGACTTGGGGAAGCTGAACATCAACGCGTGAAAATTCAGTTTAAGTATCAGAACATGCCCCCCCC